TGGCTCAATTGCCCCTGAAATGGGTGCTCCACACCTCGATGAGCTCCTGGTGACCCTGCCTAGAGGCAGCAGCTCTGCCTGCACTCGCTGGCTCAGAGCTGACAGCTGTATCCCAAAGCGATCCCTCAGGAGTGCCAGGGTCCTTCACTGCTCCTGCCCGTGGGTCCTTTTAAAGGGATCCTCTCCAAGCTCCAAGTCCTGGCACACCCAACTCTTCAGGTTTTGCTTTGTGAAGCACCCTGAGCACACCTGTACCCTATAAAACACTTTCACTTTCCTTCAGCAGCAATGGAACAGATCCATTCCCAGTAGAGTTTGGGGTTTTTGGGCTGAACTCCACCTTTGCTGCCCAGCTCCCACCCGTGTGCCATGGAGCCCCCCCTGCCCTGTTCCCCACAGCCTCACCAAGTGCTCTGGTAACCACAGCCCCCTTCCCTGGGCAGCAAAAAGGAATCACAGGGGAAAGGAAGCTCCAGCCTGGCCCCAGGGGTGCGATGGGCCCTGCCCACACCAGACCCCAACTCTGCTCCCTGTTCCCTCCACCCACAGCAGGAATGGTCACACAGACCAGTTCTGCCCCATTCATGCCCAGGACAAGCCCATAAATCTCCCATTTTCCCCCTGAGATCTCCTATCAACACTCCCTCCTTTAAACATGGCTAATTCATTCTTTTCCCCTCCCCAGCGCTGGATTCCACCCATTTCCCAGGGAACTGATCCTTTATTGAGGAGAAGCTCAAACATGGATGTTTCCTGTGGAACACTCCAGCTCTGTTCCACACAAAAGGCTTTTGTCCGGGTCCCAACGCGAGGGCGACACTGCGACCAACGATGACACGGGGCGTGTTTTTGTAAAAATTTTATTTGTCAAAGAAAAAAAGCAATGGCCAATTGAAACCTACGTCATCTTTAACTCCAATTTTGGTCTTTTAATTTAGACAAATGACTTATTTACTTTTTTTTTTTTTAAACAAACCCCCCTTTTTCCCCTTTAAGGTTTACCATCTACTCGTGCTGAATCCTTCCAAGGAGATTGCTCCAGCGTACCTCTCCAGGTCCTCGCTTTGCTCCTTTTACCAAAAAAATGCAAAACTCCATCGTGCATCTTAAGGGCTCCAATCGTCAAAAATAGGAACAAAAATATCTTTGGAATAGCCAATTGAGTTGAATAAAAAAATCCACACGAATGCGGTTTGGTTGGGGCAGGAATCCACTCCTATGTTCCTGGTAATTTGATCCCGCTCCATGAATCCTTGTAATTCAGCCTCCCTATCCTATCCACATTATGATTTGAATCCAATGATCCAGCTCCAAGGATTGGGATCCAGTGAGCCCTCTCCAATCCAAACCTTTATAACCAGCAAAACCAAAAAAGAGGAGGCAAAAAGTTAGATACTGTAATGAAAAAATAGGATTCTGGGGAATGATCAGTTATGTTTGCCATCAATAAATTCAGATGTACAGTAATAACTATCAATTCCCCAAAACAAACTTTCCAATGGTGATGCTCAGATAATTTCTTTAGAAATGTTAATTACTATTTGGAGGAAACATCGTAAATATTTACAATATGTCAACTGGAAATGCCAACATACTCAGCGCATTGGTGGGTACGAGGTTTTGTGGTTGTAAAAAATGGTTTTACTAAACTGGAAAAGCTTTAACTGCTCGGTCTATCCACCTACTATGGAATGGCTGGACTACAGCTGCACTCCCAGCTGGAGGGAACGTTAACAATCGGTGTTTTCACACGGATCGTGAGTCAATCGTGAATTAGTCTGAGGGGGCAGGGCTGAGACTTAAATTATTCCCCACTAGGTTTGCTATTTTTATTTTGCTTTCATTCTGGTACTTATAAAAATGCAACAGCCACGCTGTATCAGTCACACAGAGGACATGCAGATTTTAGCAGTATTGATATTATACTCTGATTGCAAGTTCTACTACAAGTGTACGGATACTACGGACATGGACACTTGTAACCAAACGCTGCGGGACAAACAAACCAATGCTCCCCCCCCGGCCCCTTATTCCTTTAGAAAACTAGAATGGAATAGAGAATTACAAAAGCAGGGATCTGGCCACAACTGCCCCCCCAGAGAAGGAAGTTTTAAAGGAGAAGAGCAATGGCAGCCTGCGGTCACGAGGACATGCCTGAAGCCACACGTGGGGACACGTAGGTGCTCGGCCTCAATTCCCTTGTCTCTCAGTATAAGGTCAATACTGCCAAGTTCATCTGTGACAATAGCACTTGGAGTCATACCATTGCCTCCATTATTGATCTGATCCTCCTCAATCCTCCTTTTGACAATCCTAAAATGATTGACATGTGCTCCACAATCCTTTAATCCAAAGCATTCTTAATCCATCTCTTCAGATATGTCTACAGAAAGACACACGAAAAGGCAAGATAAAACGTAAGATCCCCCAGAAGAGACAAGTTAGCCACAAACATCCCAACATCCCCAGCTCGTCTCGACCACAGCGGAACACTGAGACATTTACACAGCAATACCACAGCTCCAAGAATGTTGGTATTGTACTAGAACTAAACCAGAACAATCCTGACTGACAGCAATTAAAATACAATTTACCAAAGACAGGAGGGGGAATGTCGGTGTCGAGGAGCAAATACTCACTAGGGATTTTACACAAGAATGCAATTCAACACTTCAGCCAATTCGAGTAAAACAGTTGGAATTTAAAAAAAAAATAAATGAAAGACTGTACTAAGTAAAGGAAAACTGTGTACAACATGGGGTTCTACAAAAAGATCAGAGCTAGAGTGATGTTTATGTACGAGATCGGGATCTGCTGTGGCGGGGAGAGTAGCGTGGAGATCCTCTGCTTCTTCTTGGGGAATAACTGCGGCTTCTGCTGTTGCTGCGACTACGGCTCCTGCTACGACTACGGCTGCGGGACCGAGATCTTCCATAGCTTGGGCTTCTTGGGCCATCAACTTTAACACGGATGTAGGCAGTTTCTCCCTATTGGATAGACAGAACTTTCGATTGAAACGTCGAGGCTTCAGGGCCATGTTTCAGGCATGCTGACAGACTGCAGACAGCGTTACTACGGCCGGGACAGACAGCAGAGCTTACACGTCTATGTCCAGCCTGACCACACACTTATTCAGCTGCTCCGTAACCAAACAACGACCACCACGCGTTCCTTACCTTCACATCCTACTGTTAAGCCCCTTGTATCCAATTCTGGCCAAAGAAAGTAAGTGTGATACCTACCTCGTGAGATCTAAATTTAGTGTTATCCAGCTTTCGCACAGCGTAGGTCATGTCTTCCTTCCGCACAAACTCCACGACACCAGTGCCATCTCGGAAAACATCAGCATAACATACATCACCTGCTTCACGCATGTGATCCTTTAAATCCTGCCAACTTCCACTTGGAGGCAGCCCTAGAGAAAAAGCAAAACGTGACTTTAAAACCGGATGAGAGCCTCACCTCCCGTATTACGGCAGGGGTTGAACAGGCAGCGAAGGAGAGGAGCGCTCAGCATCGGGGGGACAGCATCGCTCCCCTCCCAGAGCACACGGGGCCACGCGTTTTAAGGAGAAGCTCGCAGCAGCACCGCGCCCGCAGGACCCCGGGGGAGCACTTGGGCTG